GAAACTAAATACAACTGAACCAAAAATAAGTGGCATCTCATAGTTAATTTTGGGACAATACTGAAAGCATAGCCGGTTCTTGTTTGTACCTCCAAAATGAATTCTACTTGACGTCTATTGTAAGGTGCAGCTGCCTCTCTATTAACAGTTTGCTCAATTTCGTCAATTGATATTTGATCGAGATGATTTGCCAACACATGCTGACCAAGAATCGCCTCAAATGCTTCAATTCTGCAGAAATATGACATAACAGGAAGAATACAATTAGCTGAGAAAAAGAAACCTAAGCTAAAGATTCAGATTTTGCAATTTGAGGTCATGTCATGTAGTAACCTCTCCGCAGGAACATCCTGATCATTCGATGCATTTCCTACATCCACATCCATTGGGTCGTTTCCAGAACTGGCAGGAGTTGAAAGGGGATAAAAACATGTGAGACTATTGAAAGCAACTAGCTAAACACGATGTATTGTAATCTGGAGAATAAAACTGCATTCATTTTAATTTGCAGAAAATAAGCTTATTGCAGTTAAGAAAATACTGCAGTTTTGAGTGTTGAGTTGTTATTCTATGTTTTTACATGTTTGCATGGTGACAAACAATTTTCCATAGCACGCCATTCATTTCTAAAAGAAATTGACCTTTCATTTTCATGCTACAAACAGTTCTTTTATGTCAATGGAGAAGGATGCATTTTAGTGCAAAATAAACATTATGTCAGTTAAATGTGGCTCTTTTTTTTTTTTGCAAAGTCAAAGCGAGCAAGATTTATTGAGGAAAAAAAGGAACGAGAATGCATTATGAGAACATTGCTTTACATTAAAAATAGGACTGCAGAAATCAGTGTCAAATGCTTTTCCATTTTAAAGGACCATTTTTAAGAAGACAGGCACTATGCTCACCTTCTATGCTCATCTGCATTACCACCACTTGCACCTGCATCATGATCAGCTTGTTGTTTCATTTCCATCTCTCTCTGTTCACGCTCTTCCATCTCAGTTAACTCTTTGTGGTATATTGCAAAATTCAGAACTTGCAGTGCAGCTTCAACGTCAGTTTTTAGAACCTGCAATGCAAGATAAATGCAACTTCATTAGATTGCCCTGCATTTTCTATCCTTCAAAACAATGAGATAAAACTGTTCCCAGAATTATAATACTACAGTAGAAAGGACAAGTTTCTGTCATGTTTCAGGGAACTATATGTCAGTTCATCTAGATAATTCTTACAGGTTACTTGATTAAACAAGCCCATGGTGTATGTAGCAAATTACCTCATGTCTCAATTTCATCTTGGCATGAGCAGTAGATAGACGAATTATGGTTTCCAGTGTCCTCGCTGTGATCGGAAGTGTACCTCCACCAGACTATAGAACAAATGGAAAAGAAAACAATTACAAACATATAACATCATTACATCAAAAAAAAACAAGGAGCCATGCTTAGAGCAAACCTTTGCATTTGCACCACCATCCCTGAGCTCAGCATATGAAGTTGCAATATGATCAGATGCCTGTAGGAGCACAAAAGCTTAAATGATATATCTGAAGAAGCTATCAACAGAAATTTTCTTTTACTATGAAGAAAGTTATCAACATAACACTTCATACATAGCGATGATAAACAAGAATAATATCTCATTTAAGAAAATCACCTCATCAGTTAGTCTTGGCTGAATAAGGTTCTTTGCATAATGAATATATTTCTTCAGGAATTTGACAGTCAGTCTGTCCTGTTTGGATTTCTTGCCTCTCCTTCTGTCCTGCCCATGGAGCATTCTATCATATTTAACAAATATGGCTGCATTAACATCACCATCATCTTCTTCAGCATATCCTGTTTTATCAAGAGATCTTGCTCCTGCAGTTTACATGTTTGTTTTCAGTTAAGCAAATAGAATAACTGAAAAGGCTGAAATATCTCACTTTGTTGTAATAAAACACAAAAATACCTCCATCATCAGTGCAATATCTATGCATCCGTGCAACATGTTCAGAAATTTGACGATCAATCTCAGGATCCATTTGATCAAGAACAATAAAAAGCAAATCAAAACGTGAGAGTAATGAATCTGGAAGCCCAATGTTCTTGGTTGGTGTCAATGAACGGTCATACTGTAACACAGCCAAAAATTATTATCAGAAAATGCAAGAACATTATCACGCCATAAAAGCAGCGGACGAGAAATAATAAGAACTTACAGTTCCATATATTGGATTTGCTGCAGCAATCACACTACATCTCGCATTTAGTGACGCATGAATTCCTGCCTTTGCAATCGTCACAGTTTGCTGTTCCATAACTTCATGAATAGCCACTCGGTCCTGATCATTCATCTTATCAAACTCATCAATGCAGACAACACCACGATCAGCAAGAACCATGGCACCAGCCTCCAGCCTTCTCTCACCTAACCACAAGAAATCGCTCAGACCTATAAGAATCAAACAAATATGTATGAAACAAGTTTCAATAATTACCAGTCTCTTGATCAGAAGTGACAGCAGCGGTCAAACCAACACCAGATGAACCCCTTCCAGTAGTTGAAATAGCCAAAGGGGCAATGTTCATAACCGCTCTTAGGAGCTGGGACTTGGCAACTGAAGGATCTCCTACCATCATCATGTTTATATCTCTGCATACCACATAAGTAAGATATATTTACACTACAATCATTGAAAGCAAGTTACAACAGAAGCAATGATACGAAGAAACAGCACTGACCCTCTCAAGTGAGTTCCATTCTTCAGATTCTTCTCTACACCACCAAGCATTAATAGAACTACTGCTTTCTTTATCCACAGATGGCCATATATAGATGGAGCAAGTGAATTTCCTAGTAAGTCAAATGTGTCATTTCTCCTTGATATTTCTTTCATCCTCTTCAAATCCTCCCGAGTATAGACAGGTGCATTTGCTTCTTTGTTCATAAGTGAAACATTGTTTGCAATAAGGACAGTCCTATAGGCATTGTATAATATAAAGGATTTCAGAAAACAATAAAGTTTAGTTCAGGAAAGTTTAAGGTCATAGAACTCACCTGAACACACCACTAACACTGCCCTTGCTTTTCCCTGGAAGAGCCTTGTAAACACCAACAATTGATACTCGGTCACCTGGCTTGCAAGAATCTACTAGGTCATCTTCTACAATAATGTCCACTGTTCTTGGGAGCTGTCCAGGGGCAGAATTTTCAGGCACTTCTTGCATGGAGAGTGTTTGGTGATCCTTGTATTCACACATCCCGTACTCAGTGACCAACAAGTTACCATTTTCATCCTAAGTATTCCAAATTAGCAGCATTACAAACAAAACAACAAATAGGTTTCATTGAATAGAGTAGCAAAAGGATGATCAAAAGAATGTACCCTTGTTGGATAAACCGAACCAGTAGGTAGGCCTACGAAAGATGTGATGTCCCTGTATTCACGTGAGAGAGTACCTCCAGTAGCAGGGCAATAGTGAACACTCTTAACAACTTTCGGCCTTACTAGTGAACCTGAATTTTTTAAGTAAAATAGCATTAGCAATATATCTTTAAATGATTCTGAACTGTGAAGTAGCAGGCAGCCAGGCACAGAGTAATGATGTGATAGGCCTAATGAGCTATCAACTTAATATATGGAATATGCACAACTAAATTGAATGATCAGTTGAACACTAAACTAAACATAGATACACATAGTATTACTTAATCAAGCATAAGCAACAGGTGAACATTCTTATCCCTAAATTTTTCGCTGCCTCAGCCAGAGCTAATATTCGCAATTTCTAGTCACATTCTTAGCTATGCTTTACCATCACTACTAACCGACTGGACTGTGATATATACTTTTTCCACCAGCAGGATCAACTGTAGAACATTATAACTTAACTTGAACTTCTTAAATCATAAAGACCACAAGTTAAACCCAGATCAGCCAACTGCAACCGGAAAATCTATGAACAAACTAGATTATGTCCAAAATTAGGGAGATTCAATTACATTTCGTGACGATGCCCTCGACGCAGACCATAGTCCCGATGAAGGACGACATGAGGTCCCTGGGCGTGACCCTGTGGAAGCCGAAGGGCCCCGAGAATCCCACCAGCACGCGCTGCCCTTCCTTCAAGAACTTGGGGTCCAGGTTCCTCGCCACCTCCGTCACCGCGTCCGACGCCGGCTGCATGTACTCCGCGGGGCTCCGTATCACCCTACAAACGCAAGAACAGATCCAATCACAGACCAATCGACCAGGCAAGAACGGGCAGCACACAGGCGGGGGAGAAGACCCACCTGCGGGCGAGATCGAGGCTGTGGTTCCGGAGGTCGTCCATGCCGATGATGAGCCGGTGGCGCTTGTTCTGCACCATGTCGCGCACGGCCTGCATGTACACCCCCTTCCCGACCTGCAGATGCAACGGGCGTCAGCCACGGATCCGGAGAACACGGCGGCGGCGGCGGCGGGAGGCAAAGCGACGGCGAGAGGGACTCACATCCTGGTCGAGGAAGTCGAGGAACGCGCGCTTGTGCGCCGCCATTGCCTCCTCGTTGACGTCCATGGCTGCTGCTCCGGAGACGGGACGCGCGACCGGAGGGGAGGGAGAGAGAGAGGAGCGGGAAGCCGGGAATGGGCGGGGGATTGTGGCGGCGGGTTCGGATTTGGGGGTAGAATTTGGGGAGGAACAGGGCACGTCTTGGCGGGAAGAGGCGCGCGGTGTGGCGGGAAGAGGTGCCCTTTCCCGCGCTCGGGACTCTGGACTATGGACCACGTGACGTGACCGCGATCCGTGTAGTAAAGGAGTATTGAATTGTACTGGGCCTCCAATTGAATTCCTAATTTAAGGCCCAATTCAGGAATTCAAACAGGGCCTAAAAGGACTCCACATTTTCATGCATGGGCTTTCTGGGTCTCACGGCCCACATTAAAGCTACGGCCCAAATCCAGTAAATTTAACAGAGCATTCATCGCCGCGGTTGAAATTTCTCTCGAAACCGCAAGAACAGTAGATGTTTGTACATACTTACAACCTGGAGTAGCTGCTGAATTTCAACTTTGTGCATAGAACTAACTAATTACACATGCTGATTATTCATAAGTCTGTACTATTACACTGCATAGCTACTACTCATTGATCCAGAAGAAAAAAAAATGTTGCTAATTAATACACAGCCTTGGTGCTGAAGCTGCCATGGGTGCAAGAGGAGGAGTCGGCGGCGGCGGCGGCGGCGGGCTGCCTCTTCTTCCTGTGCCTGTGCTTGGCGAGGAGCAGCGCGTACACGACGAACCCCAGCTTCCTCCTCCTGGGGTGGAACTGCCTGCGCGACGCGCCGCCGTGATCGATCCTCAGCGGCGACAGGGCGTCGTACTTCTGGCTCAGGATCTGCCCCAGCGACACCTTCTTCTTGGCGCCGCCGCCCTTGCCGGCGACCTCGAGCTCCCGGTGGTCCAGCTTCATGCTCAGGATCTGCCCGATGGACATCGCCTTCGTGCTCTTGGGCGTCGCCGTCACCAGGCTCAGCCCGTTCACGTCGTAGATCCCGGAGCCGGCTCTCCGGTGAGCCACCACCGCCGCCGTCGTCGCTGCTGAGGTCTTGAATTTGACGGAGCTGTTGCCGGTGGGCCGCCAATTCTGGATGATTTGCTCGGACCTCAGCTTTCTGAGTGATTCTTCGGCTACGAGCTTCGCTTTGTTCGTGGATTCCTCCCTCTTTAGGGCTTCCTCCAAAGCCTTCCTGCTGGTCTCAACTGCAGCCATTGCCTCCTCTACTCTTTCCAAGAGTTCCAGTTTGCCCCGGTTTGCTTGATCCAGCTCTTGCATTGCCGCGTCGATTTTCTTCCTACACGCGGCATCTGCTTCTTCTGCTTTTTGCACCAGCACTGAGTGTTCTTCGACAGAAAGTGTGACATCGGATGCGGTACTGGCCTCGTGCTCCCCATTGCTCAGGTTCTTTCTCTCTGCAAGAGCAAGAGCTTCTCCGCGCCTTGAGGCTTCCTTCAATTTTTCAGCCATGACAATCCTGAATTGTAGGGTCTTCGTCCTGGACTTTGTGTGCTCAATCGTGGCGGTTAATTCGCCAATCTCATTCTTCGAGTCATCAGCAATCTTCCTGTGTTTCTCTTTCTCTGAATTTAACTGTTTCATCTGCAACCAGATATCAGAAGGTTCAAGAGTAGGTTTGGGGCCTCTTGCTGCTTGTAACTGTGAAACAATTTTGTTTAAGTCTGCTTCAAGTGATGAAGCCTTCGCTCTGTTCAACTGTAACCTCTCACGAGTTTTTTCAAGTGATCCTTTCTCCTCCTCTATCTGCCTCTTAATCGTCATGACAGTATCCATGTTTAGGAATGCCTTTGCCTGATTCAGCTTGATCAATGTGGTTAGCGCGGACTGATTTCCTTTTGCGCTCTCGACCGGCTGCCCAGTATGGTAACTGCATTTCCGTTCGGTGTCAGGGAGTGGATACACCTTCCCTGCATCACTGTGACCTCTTGCAGAAGCTGCACTCTCAGATGCCGCCTTCTCTAACTGTAACTTCAAGTTGTCAGCAACCTGCTTTGTTGCCTGTAATTCTTTCAAAACCTTAAACGTTTCTTTTTCCTTGACAAAAAGCTCCATCTCTAACTTCACAGTTTGTTCCTCAACTTTCATAAGTTCTACCTCCTGAAAAAGGGCATCCCAGATTGCACAATGAATGTCTATATTCAGGCAATGTGAACCGAGAAACCGAGATATTTCGTAGACAGTAACAAATGTATAGGAGAAGAGCAACAATTTCATAGGCCAAACATGTTAAAAGAAGCTTGCTAGCAATGAGAATCATGGCGGTGCCACTAACAACCAACAATGCCACTACAAACATAAAATTCAGAAACTAATTTGCTCCCACTATGCAGAGATTTTTGTTCTGTAATGTCGAACTGATACCCATAATTCGATCTGGAAATGCAATGCAATGCCAGGGGCCTGTTTCACCTACTGGCAGTAATTAAACCGTCAACATCAAGATCCAGTCGCTGTGGCCCTTTATGCCCTCGCAATGTCGGGCCGAGCAGGTCGTGTGTATCTACCGATACTAAATGTGATGATGTATCCGGCTACTTTCCGCTCGGAATCGATCGACAATGCCCCTCATAGTGTGATGTCACAGCCGCCCACAACAACCAGTGCTCGAACCACTCCACCGAAAAGGAAGCATTTTTAGCGCTGCAAACAACCAATCCTCCTCACCCCCAAATTTAATGCGAACCTGACAGTCGCTGAAGCTTTGAACAACGTGGGAAAGTGCAAACATGGTGGGATTACAGAACCACCCGTACTACCACGATCAATTCGTTTGTACTAAGATTTCTCGGAGCAGATGGGTCAAGAAATGGAGCGATTTGGGAACGGAGTGGAGATAAAAGGCGAAGGTGGCGAGCGTCGCGGCGTGAGCAGAAGCAAAAGCAGTCAGTTGGATGGGCTAGGCGAGATGCCGACAGGGTAGAGTAGCTGCGAGGGATGGACATGGACTGACCTCCGGGCGGAGTTGCAGGGGTGGGGGCGGCGGAGGCGGAGGCGGGTGGTGGTGGCGCCAGGGGGAGAGGGCGCCGCCGCCGAACAGGTCGACGGCCTGGCGCACGGACTCGAACGGGGACGACGTGTCCACCTCGCCGCGGCCCGGCATTGCGCGCGCGGCGACGGCGTGGCCGTGCTGCGTCGCCGCTACTTCCGCCATGGCACACGGCGGGCGGCGCGAGGGCGAGGAGGCGCCGTGATGGGGGTGGGAGAGGGTGCAGTGGGGGCGGCGGCCCGTGAACCCCCTGCGGTTTTCGGCTCCCGTTGTCGTGTCCGTAGCGTGCGGGGGAGAGCGCTTTAAAGCTTTGAGAAAGAAAGCGCGGCCTGTGGGATGTGGGTGTGTGGGCTGTGGTTAGGCGGCTGCCTGGGGAGCCGTAAAATAGTCGCGTGGTGCGGCGAGCCATTGCGGTGGTGATCCGGAGGTGAAAAGGTGGTCGGGCGGGCCGCGGCTGGACGCGCGCAGCGGAGCGGAGAGGTAAAACCGTAACTCCAGCCTCCAGGACATTTTGGCCGTTGCAGGCTTGCAGCTGCACCCGGTAATTGGCGTGATCGATCAAGGGGTGAAAGTGGTGGCGCGGCGGCGGTGTATATGGGTTTTGGTCTCGCTCTCGCCGGCTCGGTACACATGCCATAATACCGTGTACTTCCTCTGTCACAAAATATTTTCCAGTATATACAGTACGTCTAAGTTCTTACTCTCTCCGTCACATAAATCTGGATATACAGTACGTCTAAGTTCTTACTCCCTCCGTCACATAATATAATATAAGAGATTTTGAGTTTTTACTTGCACTGTTTGACCACTCATCTTATTCAAAAAATTTTAAAATTATTTTTTTTGACTTACTTTATTATCAAAAGTACTTTAAGCATAAATTTTCGTTTTTTATATTTACACAATTTTTCTTAATAAGACGAGTGGTAAAACGGTGCAAGAAAAACTCAAAATCCATTATATTATGGAACGGAGGGAGTATATTTTAGACATGTCTCGTCCAATTCTAGATTTTTATATTTTGGGACGAATGGAGTAGCAGTGACAAACTAGTCAAACATATGTTAGTGAGTGGGTTGGGGTGATCAAATCCAATATTTGAAGGGATTTTACCGGTAACCATCCAAATACTTCTAAATCAAAATTGAATTTACATCTTATTTTATATCCATATCCCATGATAACCATTCTCAGCTACGTAAAATGCTACATGTTGAGCTTGAGTTTTTGGGTAGACATTCCAACTTTTAATCGTGTTATCCAGATGAAGTATAATTTTCTTAGAAGTCTATCGCGTGTTTCTCATGTGTTGCTGGTGAATGGTAATTTTTATATTATTTTCTACATACGTATATTTTATACCGTAGTAGAGAGGGGAAACTCCTTATGAGCTCTTAACTTTTCCCGTGCATCCTATACATGTAGCTCCAATTAGTTGGCATATCCTTGGCGCCCCCTTATCGTTCAACTCACCATCGTGACACCGCCATCATAGAATTCTACGTGGAGCAGTGCTTCCAATTTTTGACATTTGTGTCCTTATATAAAACTTATTTCATAAATAATCCCTAAAAAACTAATTACAATAATGGACACTCGGCTCAGCATCGATCATCCCCAGAGGTGCTACGTTATAACGCCTTAATGCCTTCAACACTGGCTCTAAGATCTTGCGTAAGGTGGCATAAATTTATGATGTCACTCTCTTAATCTTCTAGTAGCCTTGTACTTTATAGGTACTCTTACAATCTTTTATTTAAGATCACTTATATTCTAAATTCTAAATTATATTCAGAGATAATTTTTAAAACATACTCCCTCCGTCCCATAATATAAGGGATTTTGAGTTTTTGCTTGCAACGTTTGACCACTCATCTTATTCAAAAAATTTTGAAATTATTATTTATTTTATTTGTGACTTACTTTATTATCTATAGTACTTTAAGCATAACTTTTCGTTTTTTATATTTGCAAAAAAAAATTGAATAAGACGAGTGGTCAAACGTTGCAAGAAAAACTCAAAATACCTTATATCGTGGGACGGAGGGAGTATATATTGTTCTAAGAAAGAGAAGATTAGAAGAGTAATTCTCAAGTGAAACTTATTTTTAAAAAAGAAAAGCATGGACGGGGTTTAAACATTGGTCCCTTGGACGAGAGTCAAAAGACCTAGGAGTACTAAGTACTATCTACTCCTTGCTAGCTAGGGGGTGTTTAGATGGGGCTAAATTTTTAGTCCATGTCACATCGGATGTTTGGACGCTAATTTGGAGTATTATACATAGACTAATAAAAAAACTAATTTCATAAATGAGAGCTAATCTGCGAGACGAATTTTTTAAGCCTAATTAATCCATAATTATGAAAAGTTTATTGTAGCATCACATTGTCAAATCATGGCGTAATTAGACTCAAAAGTCTCGTGAATTAGTCCAAGGTTATGGAATGAGTTTTGTAATTAGTGTATGTTTAATATTTCAAATTAGTATCCAAACATCTGATGTGACAAGAACTTGGAATAAGTCCCTCCTTCCCAAACAGACCCCGCCCGTACACATTTTCAACTACTCGTACAATAGAGTACTATTGTGACAACGAAAATTCATGTCATCTCAGACAATACCTCAACTTTCTTCGAGGATGGTCTATTTATGTGTTAATTTTTTTTTGCAAGGGTTTATGTTTCAAAACAAGTTTTATATGAGGACTAAAATGTTAATAATTTGGTATTTCTCTCGTTCACAATTAAGTTGGCACTGCTGAAATGCCAATCTTAAATCGAGCACTCCAAATATTGTGTGATTATCATACCGAGACACGTTACGCAACATGAAATGTCGGCGAGATAAAAACGAAATCGGAAACAGTGCAGGGTACTCCATAAATAGTACTCCACATTAATACTACGAAGTACAGCACGTACTGCTGTCAAAATTGCATTATAAAGTCTCCATCGTCGGTTACCTATGGCAGATTATAAATCATGCGATTTATTAATAATAAAAAATAATATATGCATAAAACTTTTACATACGTGTTTTTAGCAATTTAAAAGTCAATATTAAAAAGAACTACGTTAATGTCAAAATCTATTATATTATTAAAGGAATAGAAAAAGGAGCCTCCATGTTCGCTTTCATGGCCTAGAAATTCTCACATCAATCGGAGAAAAAGAAAAAGCAGAGTCCATATAGAAATACAATTTAGAAATAGCTGAAATTCGGAATTAAAAAATAAGTAATACTAGAAGAGGAGACTAGAGTCCATATAGAAATCCAGTTTAGAAATAGTTAAAATTCAGAATTAAAAAAATAAGAAATATTAGAAGAGGAGACTAGAGTCCATATAGAAATACAATTAGGAAATAATTGAAATTCGGAATTAAAAATAAGGAATATTAGAAGTGGAGTATAGAGTCCATATAGAAATACAATTAGGAAATAACTGAAATTCGGAATCAAAAATAAAGAATACTAGAAGTAGGGTATAGAGTCTATATAGAAATACAATTAGGAAATAACTGAAATTCAGAATTAAAAATAAGAAATATTAGAAGTAGAATATAGAGTCCATATAGAAATACAATTAGGAAATAATAGAGTATAGAGTTCATATAGAAATACAATTAAGAAAAAAAAATAGAAATTCGGAATTAAAAAATAAGGAATATTAGAAGTAGAGTATAGAGTCCATATAGGAATTTAAAACTAACTAAAATTTAATAAAATTAAAAGTAGAGTTTAGAGTCCGTATAAAAATACAATTTACAAAAAAACTAAAATTCGAAATTAAGAAAAACATAGGAAGAAGAGTTTAAGGTCAATAAAGGAATACATCTATAGGAATACAATTTAGAAGTAACATAAATTCGAAATTAAAAATTTAAAAATATTGAAAGTTAAGTTTAGAGTCCACATAGAAATACAATTAGAAATAATAAAAATTCAGAAATAAAAATAAATAATATTGGAAGAAGAACATATAGTCTATATAGAAATACAATTTACAGAAAATTCAGAATTTTAAAAAAGAAATATTAAAAGATGACTCTAGAGTCCATATAGGAATATATATATATAATTTACAAATAACTAAAATTTGATATTAAAAATAATTAATAACTAACACATATATAAAATATAATATGAATATTACACATTAGTAGTTTTGTAAAGTTATTGCAGAATTTAAAATTATATTGTCATTTTAATATATTTGAATAATATAATGAGAAAACATATATGCTATTATATGAGAGAAAATATAATGATACTATATGCTATTATATGAGAGAAAATATAATGATACTAGCCACGTAATCTGCTCGGGCCACTATGCTTGTTAATTTTAAAATTAAGCTTTTAGAATTTAAATCCCAGCAAAGTCATAGGACAATCCCTGAATGTTTAATCTTGAGTTGGCGAAATCCACCAATTTCACACTCGTCCTTTTTTTTTTTTTTTTGAATCTTAGACTCGTCCTCTTCGGTCCTTCCCTGCGCTGCACGCGCGCACTCGTGAGAACGACGTGTCCTGTACGCCTTTGTCCTACTCAGACTCGGTGCGCGCTTACACTAATCCAAACCAAAAGCTGCACTGCTAAAGAGACCAGACCCTGACAGTGGGCCCCGGTGCCCAGAAAGCGCCGGGCCCACCTGCCAGACCGCATCACATGAGAGGAGGGGTCAAATGTGGGCCCTTGTTTGGAATCTGGCTTACCTCATGGATGCAGTCGGTGGCACCAGGGCTTTGTCAGTTTCTAATACGAGTCCTGAATCATCATGCAATGGTTAATTGGAGTATCTCGCTTTTTATGGTTGTTTTTTTTAACCTATCCTCCCGGGCACTTATAGCATGTACAATAGCAGGCTATAAACCGGCTATAAACATATTTTAAAGAGATTAAAAAAAAGAGAAGGGCAGTGGGCTACAGATAGATATAATGTGTGTATGACAGGTAGAACCAGGTATAAATAGTATAGTAAGCAACTATTGTATGAATTAGCTATTACATTGGCTATATATGATTTGGAGCTAGTAGTGGGCTGCACTATTGACCTTTTGCTCTTAGATCTGATCCTTTTTTTTTTTGGAAAATTGGAACCATGCCATTATAATTTTGTAAAATTTGAGATATGTCATCCTGACCCACATATCATTGACTCATATGGGTTCTACATGTTATTGAGATATCGATGTCATATCTTAAACTTTGAAAAATTATAATGACATGGTTTTAAATTATTATTTTTATCCTGTAGACACGTACTACGGTACTAAGCAACAAGGTAAAAACAGAAGTAATGAGCGTGTTCTAGCCTCAATGCTGCACTGCAAGTGCAAGACTGTCTCTGCACTCTGTTCGCGAGAACTACAGTAGAAGGCTGTGTGGTAAAAAGTTCACTGCGGCGCATCGGAAACCCCTCGAGGTTCCATATTCTCGTACGTACGTCTCGCTGCGCCTGCAGGAGACAGGAAGGGGCATATGACCAGTATGAGGCTGATCATGGTAGTGCATCGGTCCCACCTGCCCGTGAAGCCGTCACCGTGATGATGGATGTCTCACTACTGTCTTTGTACAGTTGTAGAGTACCCTCTTCTTGCCATCGCCCCTTTGTACGGAGTACTGGAGCATACATTGACCGCTGTAAAAAGAAAAAACCTCATCACTGAACTGGAAAAGGGTGATTGGTTTGATTTAGTAAGCATGCTTAATTACAGGACCTCATTTCATTTTTTCGCTTATGTTTATCACCCAAATTTTAAATTTTCAACATTAAATTAGGTATTATATAGAGTGTCGTGTGGGGTATTCGGACACTAATAAAAAAAACTAATTGCAGAATCCATCAGTAAACAGTGAAATGAATTTATTAAGTCTAATTAATCTATCATTAGCAAATGATTACTGTAGCAACACATTTTGAAATCATAAAGCAATTAAGTTTAAAAGATTCGTCTCGCAAATTAGTTGCAATATGTGTAGTTAGTTATTTTTAACCTATATTTAATACTTCATGCAGGTGTTCCAACGTTCGATGAGACATGGTGAAATTTTTTTGTGTGGGAAGTAAACGGAGCCTAAATAAATACACATACACGCACGCTTCTCTCTGTGTAGGGACGAAGTAATAACTAGTGCAGTGTTCGAATGCATGATGCATGTTTGTGTCTTTGTTGGTCATGCTGTTTTAGTGAGAGCAGCTGCGCTGCATTCGTTCCTGTAAATCTGTAATTTTGTCACAAGGAACGGTGCCATGAATAAGGGAGTCGTCCTCTCACGTTCGCCGTGAACTGAACGCATTACAGATGGGCCTAAGAGGCCCATTACAGTGGGTTGGGCCTACATAGGAAATTAGCCCGTGACCTGGATATTGGTTGGGCTTTACAAATTAATTAGCCCAGTAGGGTACTAACGGTCCATTTCAGAGGATTCCTACGAGGACTGGGCCTTGCTATGGGCTGTACATGGGCCAGGTCGGACCATGCTTGGTCAGTGGTCACCTCACTTTCTATTTTACATGTACTATGTTGCCTGTATAAGTATTCCTCTTAAAAAAACTTGTACTCTGCTGTATATCACGAAAACTGTTTTTTACTTGTTTTTTTCCATCTATTTTTCTTGGCCCAAGTTTGACAGCCAGAATGCCAGATTTCGACAAACCTGTGTCAGATTCCAACTGGCATTAATTTCGCGTGTCAAAAATTCCTTTTGCCTAATCAGACACTTGAACCTGAATTGAGTCCCACCAACACATTTTTGTGGTGACGCCGAATGGTTTTGTAAGCAAGTGTGTGGAGCATGCATATGCATGTTTCTGCACGCCAGTATGTCACTGAATCGGCAGGCAGGCTTCATGCATGTTTCACTGCACCTATATTACACTCAAACAGACAGCAGGCATGTTCGATCAAGCATGTTAGGCTCAGGCAGAGAACTCACGACCTTGTCCGCTCTATCCCTCTCAACATTTCATATATATCAACGTTTTCTATATGCTTAAAATGTTGTTGGTGGTGATGTTCATACTCACACCACCTCTACCACTAACATCTAGATTTACAATCTGTATTATTACACCACTTTTCAATAAGTCGCCCCATTTCACAATTGGCTCACCAAATTTCAAAATTATTTAGTTGTTCAATAAAAAAAATCATAGTACTACTTAGACTGAATAAGTGTTTATTAATTGATTTAATAAGCTAGTAACTTAATTTGTTTTCCGTTGTAATGCACGGGCTCTTAGGCTATTGAAATATAAAAATTTGCATGATTCAAATTTTGTATCAAAATACACTAATTCTGATGATTCCATCATGTCAATAATTCCAAAATAAATCACATATGCTCTAAATCTGAGTAATCCAAAATTAGCAACTGAAGTGACTAATTTTTTTTTATATAGTTACTAAATAACCTAGAAATCTTTATATTTTGGAACATATGGTTTGCTAAGCTACAAGAACTAGTAAAACAACTTAGTAAAAAAGAGCAAAGATTATCCCGCTAACTTGTCCACTCCTCTGAAATTAAGACGCCAGCATGTCATCAAGTGGGTGAGAAAAGTGCCTCTAAGTACCTTGAGTCGCAAGTGACCGCGCCGATCGATCTGGAGGCCAAGTATAAAAACGCGCCATCGGATCTCTCGTCTTCTCGGATCGTTCGTTCGCGCCACACCGCACTCTCTCTCTCACCCCCTACACTGACCGATCCACTCCTCCACTTCACACAATAGTGGCAGTTCGTGTGTGAGACCGAGACAGTGAGAGTGAGAGAGGGAGAGATGGCGAGCAAGCCGCAGAGCCCGCTGCGCATCACGCACGACGGCGAGTTCTACGCGCGGCTGCTCACCAAGGAGAGCTCCCAGGGCAACCCGTCGTTCCGCTACTACGGCGCCGGCACCGGCGCCGTCCCCTTCGTCTGGGAGTCCCACCCGGGCACGCCCAAGGTCGACGCCTCCTCCCCCTTCGCCGAGGCCGGCGGCGTCCCGGCCATCACCCCGCCGCCGTCCTACCACCTCCGCGCCGCCGCCGCCATGTCGTCGTCGCCGCAGCCGCACGGCCGTAGCGGCCGCAGGAATGTTGTTAATGGTCGCGGCAAGTACTGCGGCTACTGCAGGCTCAAGTGGATCAAGATCGGCTTCATCGCCGCCGTCTTCCGCCGCCTCGCGCTCGGCAAGCCATCCCGCGCGTCGTCTTCCTCGTCGGCCGTGCAGCCCTCGCCGTCCACCCGCTGGCTCTTCTCCGGCTCCGGCAGCGTCGAGACCAGCGACGAGCCGCAGCCGCCGGCGATTTCGCCGGCGTCGACGAAGCAGGGAGGCCTCCTCTGCCTCGGGGTCCGGCCGAGCCCGTGGATGGTGCAGCTCTGCGGCGTCCAGAGCATCAGGAGGGTCGACACCGGCAGCAGCTGGGCTACGCACGGCTGGGCGTAGGCCGGTCGCCGCCGGCGAGCCGGCGACAAGTCGGCGTCGGTAGTAAGTGTAACAGTAACAGAAATGCACGTACACCGTCGTCCACGTACACAGACGTACTCCATCATGCGTCACATGCAGTGGTTGGGCCTCCTTAAATTAACCTACTATAGAAAGATTGGTGTACACGACATCGATCGTTCCTGTCACGTATTTGTGTGCATTGGTAATTAGCTAGCTGTTCGATCCAGTGTCTGCTGCTGTGTCCTGATAATGTACAACATATAAGAAATTCTCAATATTAAGTGTATGGATTTGCATGATTCGTTTTTTTGGTTGTGCCGTATTGTGTGGCTGCTGCTAGGTGCCTGGATGGCTGGACACACACACACACACACACACACACACACACACACACACAAGCATATCATCGATGGGTTGACGTTTTATCTCTGGCTGGAACGTTTGTTCTTCTGCCTTGCCTTTAAAATGCCGGTGATTGGATTGTGGAAAATGCGTTTTGTCGATGGCGAATGGAACTGACAGTTCACGTGTTTATGTGTCCGGTGGTCTAATTCTGAAGCTCTGGTGTAGTGATCAGGTCACTGGAGTGAAAAAGAAAGCTATGAACGGTGGTCATCTCTCTACCTGACTAAGCATTCCTTGCTAGTTAAGCATGGCGAATTAGTTAAGATATCAGCACATCAAGATGCATGAACATGGCAACATGCTCAATTTTCTCATCTCCTCTGCAATTTCTTTTTGTTTTCTTTGTTAAAACAATAAAAATTAATCTCGTCTGTGATGTCTTATCCAGATAAGATAATTGGTTTTAGATGATGAAATAAATTCAGAGATTTTGTCTGTCCGGTACCAATCTAGCGCTGTAAATAATTCTAGTTTTAATGGTTGGTCATGGCGAAATGATTCTTTTTTTGCCTACAAAATGGAATGACCGAATCCTTTTCTTGTTTTCTCATGCGGAATCAATCAACTGGTACACATCAACCATCATGTGGATGTCAACGTCCACAGTTATGATTGAACTTGAATGCAAAGATGGACATTTTTAGGCTATCAGCAGTAGTCCATAAAGATGAGGTCCTTGTAGCGGGGATCAGGGATGGCAGCGGGTCGGGTCGGGCACGGGTAGAGCAAAACCATGCCCGAACCCATGCCCGCCGTCGCCCGCCCAAACCCTACCCACTAGGGTTAGCGGGTAAAACTCTGTGTCCGTACCCATGCCCGACGGGCACGGATATACCCGGCGGGTACCCATGGATCTCATATGAATAATAACTCGAAAGATATATAATTTAACAAAGAGAAATAAAATCGACAATTTACCAAATTATCAGTTATCAATAATAATTTAAATTACATCACAACTTATATTAGTTAGTATCACAAATAAACCAAAAGAAAGGGTATAAGAATTAACAGATAAGTTGAAATTAGCTAATACATATGTATCGGGTCGGGCATGTATTACCCACAGGAAAAAAATGAAACTCGGCTGTTGCCCATGATGTCTACGGGTTTCGGGCGGGCGTGCCCACGGGTAAAAAATCACACCCACACCCGTGCCCATTGGGTCGGGTATCCGCGGATACCCGGACCCATGGGCAAAATTACCATCCCTAGCGGGGATTTCGGACCATAACGTATCTATAAATTCTATATACCTACAACCCACTAAACTTAAAAAGCATAACATACAAACATACCACGTCATCATGCCCTATCAATTATTATTACATGTCAAAACTTATACATGCATATATCACAAATTAATGAATTATACATATCAACATGCAAACATATCTAATCACCATCCACTGGTGCAAAAACCCTTTTTACTCCCGGTTGGTAACCCTCTATAGTCTCGGTTTTCCAACCGAGAGTAAGAATCCGGGACTAAAGATCGCTATTTTTAGTCCCAGTTCAAATACCCGGGACTAAAGATCGATCTTTAGTTCCGGTTGGTATCTTTAGTCCTGGTTGGTGTTACCAACCGGGACTAAAGAGAGGGTAGCGGCAGTGAGAGGTCTCCTTTTCTTTTTTTCTTTTTTATTTTCTCCCGAATCAAGTGGGATACATATCCCCAAATCAAACCCCAAATCCCCAAATCAAAGTAACATCCCAAATCAACATCACAAATCTTAAAGTTACTTATACACACAAATCAAATACATCACAAATCCTATAAAAATTACAAACAAATCAAATACATCACAGATCCATACAAATGTGCAATGAATCACAAAATTATGCATACAAAAGTACATCTCAGATAATCACAAATTAATAAAAAAAAGAAAACAATGCGGGCTGCCGCTGCCGCTGCCCGCCACGGCCACCGCCTGCGGCCCCGACAGCCGCCAGGCGCGGCCCCACCGGCCGCCGCCGCCACCTGTCCACCGCATGGCCGCCTGTCGCGCGTCCGCCTCGCTCCGCCACCACCCGGCTGCCGCCACCCGTTCGCCGCACGGCCACCTGCCGCGCGGTCGGCTCGCTCCATCGCCGCCGCCTGGCCGCAACAGAGAGGGGAAGGAGGAGGAGGAGGCCGGGAGGGGGATCGGAGGAGAGGGGAAGGGGGGGGGGGGAAGGGGAGAGGGCCTCTCTCTGATCGAGACTTCGAGAGAAGGAATGGGGAGGGGATACCGAGTCTTAATGAAGAGAGAAAAAAGGGGAGGGGATACCGAGGAGATAAGTTCAGCGCGTGGCTTGGCAGTTTATTTTGGTCCCGGTTGGTATAAACAATCGAGACTAAAAATAGATCTTTAGTCCCAGTTGTTTATACCAACCGGGATTAAAGATAATTGGAGCCTGACTCGACCCACCAACTTCTTTGAACTGGGACTAAAAATGATCTGTTACCAACCGGGACTAAAGATCAAAATTTTTTTAACCGGAACTAAAAATGATCTTTAGTCTTTTTTTTTGCAACCGGATTATTGTGTAATTTGGTCGACCGACCTAAGATGGTTTCTCCTCCACCGGTGATCTCTCATATCGTTTTCATAGTATTTTAACATATTTACTCATCATTTGTATAATGCTTACTCCATCCGTCCTAAAATATACTCCGTACTAACTTATATATTCATCCATATATATTCCACAACAAAACACATACCATCATGATCATGAAACTCAGGTACGTATGTGCAGGTTGAGGCAACAATTGTCTCTATAAGTCCCCGTGTAACGAGACAACTCATTTTTTTTATCTGTTCTATCTCGCATCCATGTATATGCATGCCAACAAAACAGAAGTGCTATGGAAGCCCCCGTGTTAACGAGACAATCCATTTCTCTCGTGCAGAAGTGCTAATTAACGAAATGGAGTAACTCAGAAAATAACGTTGTACGGTCAATGACAGCTTCCATATGCAGAGCAAGTTGCCATGGGCGTGTAGCTGCATTCACGTACGCTTCTATTAATTAATTAGTATAAATTGGCAGTACCAATTACCAAATCTAACCCGTTGACATCAGTAATCTAGCCTAGCTACCAAATTTACTGCCAAGTGCCAACTTTATGAGGCCATATGCATGTACAGCTGATAGTTGTACACGGTCAGAGTTTTGTACCTGTGTCGGGGCCATCCGACATCCGGAGATCGAGCAGTAACTTCTACACGGTTAACGGCGCCGCTACTCGCGGTGATCAATCAATGGCGGCGAGCGTACACACGAACGTAAGGCAGAGGCATTATGCACACATAGATCTCCGACATGTACGTATAAGAATCGCAATCTTCGCAGATGCCCAGCTAGCTACTACTAACTCACTCTCACCGGCCGGTCCGCCGTGCCTGTCCACCGGCGGTGGCCACCCCGGCCGTCGACGCTTTCACTCGCGACAAGAGAGTCCACGCTGCTGTAGCGTGCGACGACAGCTAGCGTCGTCGACCAACCAACACGTACGGCGCGCGCGAACGAACTGCGCCTGATGATCGATCAGAGGGTGAGCAGCAGACTCAAGTAGGAATAGTCTCTTGACCGGGACGCAATCCCTTGCACCCTTTGCGGTTTGCGCCTCTCGATGCTGCTGCATTAAACGGGCATCGGATCGTGGGCGATAGATGATGATGATGGGGTGGGGTGTGTGGATCGATGGATCGGTTTCGCCGGCGCACTCTGACCAAAGGCACCAACCAACTTGGTCACGTTCCCCGATCGAAGCTGATCACATCGCTGATCAATGATCATGGCTTGTGTTGTGTGCGCAGGTGACGACCGGCGATTCTGCCAGTTTGGTGAGCTGACTTGGCCGCATGCCCGCATCCAGCTAACAATGTTTACACATGGGACTACCTATAAAACTGTCGAAAGAAAAATTCTATAAAATCTTTCAAATATAACTATAGCGTAATTGCATTGTAACGGAAGTGTAAATGGAGTACAACTAACATGTAACTTGTTTATTTTTCAAAAACTTGCAACAGATCTAGCTAGGGTGTGTTTAGTTCATTGGGTGTAAAGTTTTTAAAGTATACATACATATATTTGAAGTATTAAACATAGACTAATAACAAAACAAATTACAGATTCCGCCTGTAAACCGCGAGACGAATTTATTAAGCCTAATTAATCCATCATTAGCAAATGTTTACTCTAGCATCACATTGTCAAATCATGGCGTAATTAGCCTTAAAAGATTCGTCTCGCAATTTACATGCAAACTGTGCAACTGGTTTTTTTTTTCATATTTAATGTCCCATGCATGTGTTAAAAATTTGATATGATATTTTTGGCCAAATTTTTTGGGTTCTAAACAAGGCCCTAGTGACTAGCACACACAGCCTGCCGGAGTGAGGTCCTCGGTTAGAACCCCTCCAAGTGCACAGATTTATTCTCACACTGGATTTTTCCCTACACACGCCAGCACGAATCTTGAGACAAAGTGAGGTCCTGGGTTACCCTTCCAGGTGCGCAGATTTTTTTCCCTACACACGCCAGCATGAATCTTGAGGCAAATCCGACGGTGAAAAATTTGAAAGTTTTTCTCCCTATTTTCCGTCGACAGAAAACTAGTAAATCTGTTACATGTAGATAGACCTACTGAGTTCCACAAATAGAACTACTACTCCGTTCTGTAAGGACAGCACGAATCTTGAGGCAAATCTGACAGTAAAAAATTCTAAAGTTTTTCTCCCTATTTTCTGTCAACAGAAAAAAACTAGTAATCCATTACAGATAGAACAATTGAGTTCCATATATAGAACTGCTATTCTGTTCTGGAATGACACCTGGGCCATCAACCCGACGTTGTACCAAAAGTTCGAAGCCCTATTTTCCCATGCAACGGATCAAGACGTCATA